CCACTAAAGTAGGAATTGCAGCTTAAAATATTCACTATTAACCAACTTTTTGGATAGCCTACTGTTTGACAGGTACTGTGATATGTTGTATGTATGGTGATTAAAAAATAAACAAGGATTTCTGCTAATAGAGAATTTCTGCACATCCCTATAAACTTAATTAAGTATGGCTTTTGGAACAAAGAGAATAGTTTTTCCAAAAAGGTAATTTTCTAATTGATAATTTATGTATATAAATAGTATCTTAAAATTTAAGAGGCCCATGTAGACAGACAGTTGATTATTTCAATGGCTAGCTCATGAATTATACTTCCTGTATATTTTTTACCAAGATATTTGTTTTGTGTTTTTTGTGGAGTTTTTTGGTGGTGGTGGTGGTGGTTTTTTTTTTTTTTTTTTTTTTTTTTTGGTCTCTTTGAGACAGGGTCTCTTTGTAGCTCCAGCTGGCCTGGAACTCACTATGTAGACCAGATTGTCCTCAAACTCACAAAAATCTGCCTGCCTCTGCCTTCCAAGTGCTGGGACTAAAGGCATGCACCACCAAGCCCTGCTTTTTCCCCAAGATATTCTTACATGCAGAATTTTTTTCTACAATCAAACATTCCACTATTTTTGCACACGTCATCTGTTTTTGTTTTTTTTTTTTTAAAGTTCCCGTTTTAAAATCAGGACCAGGACATCAAATGTCCAGGATGTCAGTGTCATCGCACATCTTAAATAGATATCCACAAGTCTGGGAGAAAGCAAGTGCCTGAGCATGGCACTGTTCTGTAACTAATCTCATCATTCCTTTGTAAAGGAATGATCTGAATATCTTTGGCTATCCTTTCGGCTAACACTCTACTACTTGCAGCAATTATTCTTCATGACATCAAATCAAATGGTCCACCTGTAACATCCATCAGCACTCCACCTGCTTCAGTGACAATGATGCCAGCTCCTGCCCTGTCCCAGCAGTAAATCTCCATTTCATAAAATGCACCTGCGCCTCCAGTTGCCAGAAGGCACATATTAACAGCAGCCATTCCAACACTCTGGATTCCATGAATGGAAATAGAAGAAAACTTTTCCAAGTTCAAAAGAACAATCTGCATAGTCTCTGGCTTTCTGGAAAAGCCCAACTCTGTCACCAAGAGTGATTTGGTAATATATTCATCTTGTGAGACCTGAAGCTTCTGGCCATTACAAAAGGCACCTTTTTCCTTTCCTGCCAGCATACATCTTATCTTCCATACAACTATACACAACTCCAAACTCCAGCTTTTTATTCACAACAGAGCCAACTGAAGCAGCTACAAAGGGAAACCTACGCACAAAGTTGGTTGTTCCATCAATAGGGTCAATAATTCACACGGGGTTGGCAGCGAAGACAGTCTTTTCCCCAGCTGCCACAGACTCTTCACCAATGAAACTGTGAGATGGGTACTTTTCCTTTATGGAAGAGATAAACATCTTTCAACTTTTTGGTCAGTAACCATTACCAAATTAGCTGGAGAACTTCTAATGATAACATTTATCTCATTTTTTTTAAAGCTTCATGAATCACCTCTCTAGCTTGTCTTGCTTGGGTTACTATATAGTCCATGCACTCCTGCCAGGGGTCAGCCATCTTCTGCACTGCACTGCTCACCGGCTGGCATCCTAGGGCTCAGCTCTTCGGAGGTAACCTCCACAGGATTGTGTTTAAGCAAATCTCAGACTTATTGTCTTCATATAATCAACTATATAACATATTATGGTACAAAGGTAGATTACAAAAGTGTGGTTTCCCTTTGCTAAACTATATAATACAAGAAAAAGTCTTACAGCATGGTTATCTCTGAATCAAAAAGGACTGCTAATTTCTTCTTTGAGTTGTGTGTTCCCCACAGGGCACATGTATTGAATGGAGAAAAGATGACAGCGGTTGGGGGAAGATGTTGATGCTGACACTCCAGCCCTATTTCTCTTGCATATCTGATTGCTTTGATTCTGGCTGGGTACTTCACACTTGAAGCAGAAATAACCACCCTGCCAAGGTGAAGGTCATTTCTGTCAGTCTCTGTTTTCTCCTCGGGCAGTCTGTAATTTAAAATGGTGATATTAGCATCTATCATGACAGCATGGTTTCTCACCTTCAGCTCTCTTAACATCTTGTGCTGGTCCATTCTTTACTGTGGAAGGATTTTCCACAGTGGAGGGTTTTCACTAGCATCCTGCTCTCTATCCATTAGATACCAGTAGCATCCTTCCTCTCCCTCTACCAGCTGCAATGATTTAAAATGTCTTCAGATATTGAAACGTCTCTTTGCAAAGCAGTTACCCTTGGTTGGGAATCACTTCACTCCAGTATACGTGTGAGTCAAAATGCATGGTGTCTAGGAGATTAGCAATAAAAACTTCTCATCCATTTTGTTGTCTAAAATGTCATGGAAGATGTAATTTGTGATCTGATGAAAGTCACTATTGTGGTTTACTGACCTGCACATTTAATGAACCAACTTGTGACACGATGGTTAATGATTATCTGCATATTTGAAACATATCCAGAAACAACCAAGACAAGGTCAACTCTATGAGAAAAGCAAAGGTCATGAATGAAAGATGGCTTGTCAGCTGGGACAGTGATCGGTCAGATTTGCCTCCCCAGCTTACCAACAGACTCATTTCATTATTCATTATCATCCACAATACAGGGAAATATTGTGTGAAAGTTACAAATGAGAGATTTTTGCCTAGAAAATTTATGATGCTACATACCTCTTAACAGGTCTTTTGATTAGCAATAAACATGTATATGTGTTACAAAAGATAAAGGGAAAAGGTATTTAAATATTGCATATAATTTGGAGGGGTTTTCCATAATGGAACATTTTACTAACGAAGCATAGAAATGATATAAGGGAAAACATGAGATCATCTTGCCATTCTCTCCAAGAGCTAAACTGTTCTAAATGTATCCACGCCTGACCTTTGCTCCCCCAGTCCTGAGTCTTACTTAATGTCCCCATTTTAATAATATAGGACATCCCTCATGGTTCCTCTCTGGCGAGAAACTCAACAGATAAGTAGAGAAAACACATTAGTGATATTATGATCTTCAAAAAATTACTTCTTTAGTTAATGGCTGTGCTGATTGCACAGAAAATAAAACTTCTAGCAAATTCTACATCAGACATTGCTGATCTAGGGTTATCAAACACTGCACAAACTGTGTTTCAAATAGCATCACATAACTATGTAACTTCCTAGAGTGCATTTGTGGGATCCTGAGTCTGGGTCTGGAACCAGGGCCTTACACATGCTTGGCAAGTTCTCTTCCACTGAGTTATATCCCTAGTCCTGGGGTTTTGAGTCTTAATGATCATGTTCTTGAAACGGTTGGGTACTCCTAAGTCAAAGGAATACTGTAGGATTTAGAAATCTCCTTATCTTTTCTTGAATTTGCACACCTTGAAAAATGCTTACTTTTTAATGACAACATCTAGAATTTTGTTTAAGGGTAAATAAATAAAAAATTACTACTAGCCTCTGAGGGCTAGGTATTACTTAGGCACTAAATCTATAGTAGTTACACACTATTTGTAATCCTACTATATGTATTGGTCTGTTCCCCACAGGAAAACTGAAACTCATAAAGGTTAAGTACTTTGTTCAATGTCTCACTTCACTGGATGGGAAGGTCCTAATTCAAACACCGTTCAAGCAGATAGTTGCAGGATGTGAGGCTGCCTCTTTCAGTCTGTGTGAATAAAAATGTACTTGTTTGTATTCCTTAAAATAGAGATCTGCTGAGGTGTGGTGGCACATGCCTTTAATCCCAGCACTAGGGAGGCAGAGGCAAGTGGATCTCTGTGAGATTGGGGCCAGCCTGGTCTACATAGTGAGTTCCAGGCCATCTGGAACTACGGGGAGATCCTATCTCAAAAAACTGACAGAGAGAGGAGAGAGAAGAAAGGAGAGGAGAGGCAGGGAGAGAGAATGACTGTAAATCTGCAGTTTATCTGGGGGGGGGCGTAAGAAGTGGAGATACGCACATATATGTGTATTTTAAATTATCATGAACCTATAGGAGCCTAAGGATCTGCTGTGGCCAGGGAATGGACTAATTTGGGTTGAGAAGTTTTGTTAGATAGGAAAGAAGTGTGAGTGACAAGGAAGAAATAAATTACATTTTTCTTAAGTCGGCAAGAGAATTTCAGAGGAGAGTTCCCTATGGGAAATTCCCACGATTCACATGAGGCCGGGGGTGAGGGCTTCATACACGGTGGGTCTCTGTTGTCCATGCTGCAGGAAAAGGGGGATTGAAGAGGTCAGCAGAGACAGCCTATAAAGAATCGAGAAAAATGCACCTGGGTGTGGGAGGCCTGGCCATTGGTTAAAAAACAAAACCGCCAAATGAACCTAAAAGTCAAGCTCACCCCAAACAGGTGGCGGGAAAGAATTCTACCCCAAATTGAAAGTGGAGCATCCAACCGCCGGCTTCTGGCTGTGAGCTCTGGGTCTGATTAATTAAGGTCAAGGTGATGATGGAAATACCAGCTGGGGAGCATTTTGCCCAAAGATAAATCTGTCCCTCTGTATTTCTGCAAGACAGCGGGAGGTGTTGTGTTTGGAGCTAATTTGATTTACATCATGCCATGGTAACTTCTGTTCCCTCTCTCCCTGCTGTCAGATGTCTTAGCTGGCTTTTCTTCTCCTTCACCCCCACACATTTCATAACACCGAGAGAAAGCACGGGTTGGCTTCAGGCAGAATTTAGAAATGGAATAGCTCTAATTTGATTCTTCTGCATCGAGTGCTATTCTCTCTCTCTCCCTCCTTCTTTCTTGAGGGAGAGAAGTTGTAAACCCGAGCATAAGTATGATTTATTTTTATATCATGCTTAATAGAACAAACTGGTCGACACTCAGAACTTTTTCTTTGGTGCAAAACCTGGCCACTCACCTATCCTCCCCTTGTGTGTTCAGTAATATTAACATCAGAAAATGAAGTCAGAGCTGAGGACCCCATGGAACGCGCGCTTGCTGGCTCTGTGGCTTTCCTCTCCGCCGGGCTAGGGAGGCCGGTCACTCAGGATGGGTGACCCCGAGGGTCCCCCGGCCGCCCATTCTGGGGCACGCCTGGCCCACCGCCCTCGCCCGTCCTGCGGGGGCGTGGGCCGGGCTGGGAAGGATAAGGTTACTCCCGGGCCTCGTCGGTCTGGAGGAAGGGAGGCGGGTCGCAGCCAGCGCCCGGGCCCGCTGGGAGTTCCCACAGTTGGCAGCTCTGGTCCGTGGGGCCGCATCCCTGCGAGCTGCCGTGGGTCCGGAGCGCAGCCGGGGGCCGGTGCGCCGCCATGCTCACAGCCAGGCCGCCCGGGCGCAGCTGCGGCTCCCTGCAACGCTGGCTGCTCAGCGCGGCGCTGCTGTTGGGCCTGAGGCTCTGCGTGGAGCTGCGCCGCGCGGGGTACGGACCCCCAGCCCGCCGCGGGCCCCCCGAGCTGCCCCCGCCGCACCTGCTGCCAGCGCCCGGCCCTCCGCACGGCGCCAGCAGGAGGCAGGTGACCTACGTGCGCAGCAGGCGCCGAGCGCTGCCCGGGGGCGCAGGGAGAGTCACGCCGGAGCCCAGCTGCTGCGCCCCGCGTGGGCGCCCCGGCCGGAAGGTCAGTTGCAAACGGTGCAAACCTGGGCCTTGAACCAGAGCCTGCGTAGGAGGCCCGCTGGCCTGTACTCTTCAAGAAGCCTTTCGCTGGTCTCATCCTTCAGTGCCCTAAGGAAAGGAGAGGGAGTAAGCCGTTCATCCATATTCAATCAGTATTTGCTGAGTGGCCACTCTGACAGGCCCTCTTCTAGGAAAAGGACACCCAGCAATGAAGGCCAGACCCTAGTCATTTCAGTGATGGGGAGGAGGAGGACGGGCTTGAGCGAACTGGAAGGGGACAGCCTGGGACAGCCTGGCCTAGTCACTGTGAATAACTGGCTCATCCGCCACCTTCATCTTAGTAATAGTGAAGATCCCCTTTCCAATCCCACAGTACCCCTGAATTGCTCCCCAGGCGTTCAGAGGGTGGCCGGCACAGGGCGAGAAGCCCAGCCCCAAACACCACTTAATGGGAAATTAATTGGATCCTCCAGGACCATTAACATGGGTCTGTCTTAAACCAGCTGGCTAGGCTCTTCCTGCCTCATTAACTTCTTGCCTCACACCTTACTGTGTAGGCCGATTTTAACCTCTGATTGTTAAACCTCTGGCCTCCCACCTCCATTTTGGAGTTCATCATTTATGCGTATTTACAAGGGAAAAGATTAAGAACTGAATCTATGAGCTTGCCAAATCCTTATACCCATCACTTCAACCCCAGTGACAGGTCCGGAAGCAACGATGTCTGCCTGGCTTTTTTTTTCCTTTTGGGCATCTGCCCCCACCCCACCCTTCTACACCCTCCTCTCCCTTTGGCTCTGAGCGCCCCCCCGCCCCCCCCCCGAAGTTCATTTTGTGATACTCCACCATTTCTTCCTGTTTTCCTTCCTGTTCTTCCCCTACAGGCCTTGACCTCTCTTCCCACACCAGGCCATCTGTGTTATCATCTCGAATAAACTCGGTTCTGTTTTCATTCTCTGAAATGCACCTCCTTTTTAAAGACCTAATTATCTATTCTAGAAGAACCACTGCCCATGCAGTTCTCGTGATACTGTCTGTGTATGCATTCAACAAGTCTGCCAGGGGCTTACACTAGATGCTCTGTCAAGTACTGGGGGCACAAGCTGAGTTCAAAGTCTGGGAGTGTGTGTGGGGTGTGGGGGGGTGCTCAGCAGAGGCAGCTAATCCAAATGCAGGCCTTGAACCTACTGAGGAAGATCTGAAAGAGAAAAAAAAAAAAAGATAGGACAGTTGAGCCAGGATGTGATAGTTCTCAAATTTGGCTTCTTTTTTTTTTCCTCTGTGGATGTCCTCTAATAGCCCGTCCGTGGTACCCTTTACTACCCTGTACTGTTCCTTTAGATTCACTCTCACTATCTGTAGCTTCTAGTGTCATCTGTTGAAGAACTCCTCTTAAGTTTTTCTCTCCACTTCACAAAACAGCATTGGTAATTAGAGCCTGTCCTATAAATGTTGAATTTGGAATGCTTAGTCAAGTTCACCCTTTTCCCCTTTAGGAGGCTGAAGCAGAGATCCAGGCTGAAAATGGGGTGCATTATAGATGTGGAGGTGGCAAGAAGTGGTGGGAGACTGGATGTATTTGGAAGGTACATGGAGGAGCAGAAAGCTCTTATTGGTTTTGTTTCTGCTAGATGAACAGAAAAGATGTGCCAATTCCAAGTTAACTTTCAAATATCCTTTAGACATTGAGATGAAAATGTCAAATAGACAATTGGACATGTGAATCTGGGTCTTGGAAGCAATATCCAGGCTGACGTAGTGATCTGGGGGTCATTGTGCTTAAGTGGCACTATTACTAAGAGGTTGTATGAGATCAGCTAGGGAATGAGTGTGGCTCACAAGGACAGGAGGGTGGAGTCTGAGTGAAATGAAATTAGGAAGAAAATAAAAAGGAAAATATAGCATAGTACCTGCCTAGCATGTTATAAACACTAAATAACAGCTTTAATTTTCACTAAACCGTCCCAGCTCTTTAGCCTCTGTCACTCCCCAAATATAAGTTGTTATAGCTTACATATATTCCTTTGGCAATATCCTGAGTCCTTTACTGAGAGACTCCATCTTGCTTCCTGCCATCCTACCTCAAACATTCAGGTCAAGGCACACTTCCATCCTTGAACATTCAGGCCAAGGTTCACTGAGACTATCACTCCTGTTCTCAGTTGATCTCACCCTAGGAACACCTTCTGTGAGTTATGAGTTGCTTTGTGTGGAGACCTGAGAGTCCATCTCAGATGGAATGCTTCGTCTCCACAAAGCATTCTCATTTGGGAAGGATTTCATTTCCCACAGTGACCTTGATAAACCGTGACTCCAGAGACACCAGTGTGTGAAAAAAATAATACCCTTACTGCTTAAGCTTCTTATGGGTAACTCCAAATATTCTTGGTTAAAAATATACAAGAAAGAAGTAAGGCTTATTACTGTTACAAAAATATTAGGTTCTTAGCACCCTTGGGACCATTTTCCTTGGATTCCCTACTCTGTAGCTATCTACTTACTTTCAGAATATATATCTAATTTCACCAAGTTCCTAGACAGGAGTTTAAGTTTCATGTCACCAAAATTTACCATTGAATTAAATTATTCCTCAGAATTAGAAAGACCAGTTACCTGTCTTCCCACTTCCAGAAACAGGGTTCAACATCCTATACTTCTCTGGGGACAAATCTTGTTCCCTTTGAGCCTTCCATTGTGAATGCACAATAAAATATTTGAAATAGAGTTTGGAAATTATCTGTTAAACTCCTTTTATTTTATTTTTTTTATTTTATCATTTGATTCTAACTTTGCTTCCTGAGACTGCTGATCAATTTCATGAGGTTTTTGGCTTCTTTGCCCTAGGCACCTGCAACCTTGGTAAAGGAAAACCAGTTCCATTCTACTTGAGGTCAGCTTTCTGGGTGGATGAGAACCTGCATGAAATAATTAGTTTGCATGGTGTGTCTTGTCACCATGCTTTCTTTGCAGGTGCTAGGGCTACAGAAATTCAGTAATTATTTTGCCACTTTAATCATAGCTTTTGCTTCTCTTAACAAATCTGTATTGAGAGAGAGAGAGAGAGAGAGAGAGAGAGAGAGAGAGAGAGGAGATGTAGTCCTATAATTCTCTCCTTCCTACTTTTATCAAGTCACACAAGAGCTAGTTCTAAATGTCAAGTCCTATTATACACCTGAAGTTCTGTCTTTGAGCTTTGAGCACTGGAGATCAGGACAAATGACAGATGATGGACACACACTGTCCCCTTTGATTGTGACTATTCTGGAACCTATACATTTATGTACATTACAGATTCTCAAAGGATTTCATCAGAGCTCTTAATCTCTAAAATTTGCATACTACACATGCATTCAAACATCACCGCAACCCTTTTTCTTCTCTGTTTTCTGTGTGTTTCTGGGTTTCTTTTTCTTTCTTAAGCAGACATTTAAATGATTCCCATGGGTAAAGCTCTTGGTTGGGGACATTTATAGAGGGTGAGACATAGTCTGCATGACTTGGGCTTCTTATGCATTCTTGGGTACATGCTGTACTGCTTATAGATTGGCAGTCCATCTAAAAAGCAGCAGCTTTTCAACATACAGGGCTCGTTTGTTCAGGAGATACTTAACTTGGGGCAAAGCTTCTGAAGAAATGTCTTATCAGAGATGTGTTACTTGACATTTAATATGTTGGCACAAAAAGTGACTTCTGAGTCACTGAGCTACAGAACCCAACAATGTACTGTTTACTTGGCTCGTTAGTTACAGATCCTTTGGAACAGAGGGTGTGTGTGTGTAGAGGGAGCTGTTTCCTCTTCTGAAAAACCATATGGCAAAATGTGGTCTTCTTATCATCTCTTAGTTTTTTAATTCTGTGGTTGCCAGCAAGAACAGAAAGTGGCATAATATACTCCCTGACCTACCCAACTGCCTTACGAGCCACCCCTGCCCCCAATCCTTGAAGGTAGGTTTGAGTCCCTTGCAAAGTGTGACCTAGCAATCCTTTCCAGCCCCTTGGGTTTTTGCATATCTACCTATACTTCTGTCCTTTAAGGAGCAGCATGAATTAGTCCACAGGAAGCTGGGTATTTCCATTTTAAACAAGGTCAGTCCTAGAGAGTAATTGAATGAGCTGCAGCAATATGTGGGTGTGAAATAGCAGTCACTTAGTTTCATTTTAAAAAGTGGGTTTTTATTACGGTTTTGATGTGCCTTCAGTGGGGACCAGGGCTCTGCTTCCATCCAAACCCTGCAGTTAGTTTCTCAGAGAGCATCTGTGGGCAGAGGGCTGCTAATGGAGACTCTATTGTTTTTCAACAACTGATGGTGGAGATTTTAGGTTTTTGTGTGCAATTTGTGCAGTCCATTTTCTCTAAGGAGAAAAATGACCTGTCAGTTTTCTCGAATAGAATTGGATTTCCTTTTTCAGCCTGTGAAGAGAATCAAGGTCTCATAGTTAAACTCGAGCCTGTCAAGGGTGGAGGGCCCTTGAGTTTTTCCATCTGTGCAGTGATACCTCTGTAGTCCTTTTGTTTCTGAGAGGTTGGACTCTTTATTCTGTGATACACAGAAAGTAACAGGAGCCTGCTTCATTTACCATGAAACGTACCAACGTAGCAATCACTGGTCTACCAGAGTGGATAAGCTTCTTTAAAAGCAGCACCTGGGTCCTCTAGAGAGCTCACAGTGGACCCAGTAGTGTCCTGTGGAGGTTTCTGCTAGCTAAAGGAGGGTGGGAAAATATGCTCTCCAAGAAGCATTTTTATCCTGCTCAAGTGATTGATAGAAATTGAGTTTTAGGAGCCTTACAATCTAGGGCTGTATGTAATTTAAACTAATAGCAATCTGGGCTGTTAGTTGATGGCTCAGGAGGTAAATCCAACCCATGAATTTTGTTTGAATCACATAGCATTTTTTTTTTCTCGTTTTGGAGGTTGAACTCAGGGCCTCGTACATGCTAGGGGAGTACTCTACCACTGAGCTTCACCCCACCCTAACATAAATATCTATAGATGGTGTA